GTCTGCCAACTTTACAGGTTGTGAAAAGTTGTGTGATATATTTGAGATCCCTGGAAGTCATTGAAACTAAGGACAAGCCTCTGAAGATGGGTAAGTTGGAAGAGAGTGTTATTGGGAAGAAGTTTATCATGAAGCCAGCTGCAATTGAGATTGAGGCCAATTACGTGACCCAAAGGATTGCATGTGACCCCATCCCATAAGCAACAATTTCTCCCATTTTTCCAAGTTGATGTCTTGAGGTCTGAAATGTTATAAGAATCACAACTTTCAGAAGCGATAGAATTAGGATCAGGCTTTCTAATGGAAAATGAGATTTTGAAGAGTAGCAAAGCTGAGCTTTGGTCAGAGCGACAAGATGGAAAAGCAAAGGAAAGTGAAAGAGAGTGCAAGAGAAAGAATTGGAAACAAAGAACCAAACGCAATGATAACAGCCTCCTCATCCGTGACAGGTGAGTCTGGTTGATTATTGTTGAAGTGGAGAAGAGATATACCTATATTTATAGCTGAAAAGACTGTCTACAAAATGTTACACCATAGATCTCAATATTGTGACATTAACAGAATTGTCAAGGAATTTTATAACATATTTGAAGATCTTGATTCAACTTAAATAAATTACTAGACCGTATATTGCATTATTTTTTATTAAATATTTTATCTATGAATATTAACATTTTTTTAGATATACCTAGTAATATAAATGCTTCCGAGATTTTTTGTTTGTACAGTTTATCATTCTAGACGCGTAGTTTGACAATTTGACCGAGTAGAGTAAAATGATGCGAATGTTTCACCTCTCTTTTAACTGATAAATCTCTCCCGCATTGTTCATTTCAAACTCTTCTGCGTGTCGCAATAGCAATAAATACAAAAATAAAACTTAAATACTATATTTACGTATTTCATCATTTTGTTTTCATTTACTATTCCATCTTTTTATGTAAACATGTACGACATATTTCAACTTAAAAATTTAATAATAAATTTCTACAAACACTACTGAAGATGTTTTTAAACATGATTAAAACCAACTCTAACAAATTTTTAGCTCTCTAGGTAGTAGAAATCTGGTGATCAGTTCAAGAGATTAAACGTTTTTTTATTAAATAAATTATTAATGGAAGAGTTTTACACCCGCGTGCGTGATTCTATCCTCCTCACTTCAAATTAGTAGTTACAAATGAATTTTCAGACATTAATTGAATAACTGGACAATACAATGTATACAAGCAAGAGGATATAAGTTCTTGTCCATAAGAAAAAAATCATTAACATTTTTTGTGATAGAGTAATTCAAACATATTTTAGAGAAACATGTGATTTTGCATATAACGATAATTTAAGAAAAAGATATAAGGCGCAACTTTTGTTATCTTAATCGGATGACAAATTTAATTCAACTTTAATTTTCTGCCAATATCTTTTGCCAACTTGAGGGACAGAAAGCAGGAAGGCAAAAAACACATTGTCCATATTTTCAGCTTTTTCACATGTAACCATCGACTTACAAGTCATTGTTCGTTATTTCAATGTCTTGTCGTAAAGTGTTTGCTATCTGTCCAAATTGGGAACACAGTCAAGACATTGCAATCTCCATTGACCATTGAAAAAGAAATTGGAGTAAACTGTGAACCAGAGAAGACGACAAACTTTGATAGGAGTCCCAAAAGTTTGACTCTTCCCAAAAAGAGAAATAAGGTGAAGATTGTGAAATCAGGGACGGAACTCCGCGTTCCGCAAGGGGCCCAACCTAATGCCCTTGCCTTGTATACTGTGTGGAGAATGTGCGTGAACAGTGAGGGAATGGGATGAGAGGAAGGGGGTATAGACATAACACCACAATTAAAATAATCTCCCATGTTATAGACACACATATACACAAATTACTTACATACATACATATATTTCCTCTAGGCTATAATATGTGACATTAATAACTATTTTCCAATTTTATAAAAAAGTTAGGTAAAATTTTAATCTCTTAAAAAATTGTATATCCTTTAAGTTTTACACTCATCAAATATTTTATATAAGTGTCTTAATAATGATAATTAAAATTTTAATACATAATTTTTTCAAAAAAAGTAATACATAAAATAGGGGTGTAGTTAAAAAAATAAAGGAGAATTACATCGAAGTCTCATATAAAAAAATTAATTATTATAAAGTTCAGTGACAACTAAACTAAGGAGGTTGACAACTGATTGTATTGTCAATCTCCTTAGTTCAGTTGTAAATGAACTTTGTAGTAATTAATTTTCTTCTGTAAAACCTGGATGTAATTCTCTCAAAAAATAATTTTGAAAACTACATAATATCAAGTGTTTTAGACTAAGTAAGGCTCTAAGAAAATACATTATGTAGTGGTTCGGAGGGAGCTCACTCCCTTCACCTTTATATACACTTCTCAACATGTTTTCATGTAGATTAAGAAAAATTATTAGATTCTTTTATTTTAAAAAAATATTTTAATATTTCACTCATACCCTTATTAATTAAAGAGAACCTCATCATGCCTTGTTCAAGTTACAAAAAACCATTATTATAGGGAGTAAAAATAGAGTATCATTTGATATCCTAATTGGGTATCTTATAATTTAGACCACTTTTATTTTTGAAGAGTACCTTATAATATAAGGGATCAGAGAGAACATAAGCATGTTATATGACTTTATTTTAAACATTTTTAAAATTTTCTAAAAAGTATATATAATTGTACATAATTTGGTATCTAATATTTCTAAATTATAAAATTATTTTTTAAAATCGGCCCCCTAACTATTAAAGCTGGTTCTGCCTCTACTTGAAATATATTTTCAAGATGGAATTAACTAAGGTTTTAAGACTTGATTCAACTTGGATAGTTAGACCAATTGGATTGTTGATCTAATCAGTTGAATCAATGAGAATCATGACCCATTGTCTTTTTCAATTTGTCATCCGGTGTTGTTTTTAAAACATTACTTTTAACAATCTTGTACATAAAGCTTGACAATTTGACCAACATGACCAAATATTTCTAAAAAAATTTATTTAAATTAAAGTGATTTTTTTTTCTTGTATTGATATATGAAAGATTAATGTTTTTTTTTAAATGGTACAGTTCAACCAAATTTCAAAAATCATGTGCTTGTCCCACCCCACTTAAACACATATCCCTTAAGCCTAATTCAAGAAATTTTTTACTTTTAAAAATTACTTTTTATTTAAATAAAGCATTAGTATTTTTGTAAAAATTTTGACAAAATCTCCCTTGAAAATAAGATTCCCTGAAATTCTACAATACAAATTTTTAGACAAATATCATAACAATCAGAAACCTAGCTCCTTCTAGCTAGTAGACAGAATATTTGACAAAGTAAGGACCCTAACCATAACCTACGTAAGCATCTAATATAATGCTTACAAAACATAATAAATGGATTTAAGTTTTCATTAGAAGAAACTTGATCTACCATCCTTTACTTCAACTCAATACTAAAACCCTTTAATGACCAGCAAAAGGTGCAGCACCGCTAATCTATATCAAACTAAAGAAATATTTTTTAGTGAATAGCGTTCTAATTTAAAGTTGATGGAAATAATAGAAAGAACATCAATGAGTCATTTGTAAACTTAATAAAATAATTAATTGAAATAATATAAACACATATCTCATAATTTAATAGTTATGCATATGTAAATCATGGATGTATGAATTCAAATAAAAATTATATATATGTATATAAGATTACAAAGGCAAACGTGGGAGAATGAGGGAATTTTAAATCTAATTGTATGCTTGGGAATTTTCTTCTTCATTTTTAATACAATAGAATGGAGTGAGCATAGAGGCTTGAGTGACTATTACACTATAGTTTGGATTTTGGAAGATCTTTTTAATATGGTGTGATGTTGAATAATAGCCTTTCTAATCATTCCGAGCTCTTTTTGTTTCCCGTCTATCCGTAATTAGAAAGTCAAAGATGGAATGAACAAGTAGTAACTAATATCATAATCAAATTACTATACCCTTAACTATATATATTCTCTTTAGTCTTATTTGTAAGTTACTTCTAACATTTTCACTGAAATCAAAAAAAATATTAAACCTCATTAACTCTGTCTAAAAATTTAACAAGTTTTTAACTTTACCTCTATTAAATATATTTACTTTAAAATCAAATACTATAGCATTTCATAAATTTCCCTACATTGAATAGGGGCAAAATGGTAAATATGAACATAATGATTATTGAGATACCTTTAAATAGGACCAAAACATTCTCTTTTTACCTTATAAATAGGATAAAAAGAATAATTCTCGCCATATAGTGCCAAGCTCTCTGCTTTTGTTATTTCAATTTTGTTGAACTCTTGTCCTACCTTTTCCATTATGCTGAATTGTCTCTCATTCTCTTAAATTTAAGAGAATATATTTTCAAGTTCGTTTAATTTTTTAATTTTAAATTAAATCTCTGTAATTTATTTTGTTTTAATTGAATCCCCATAGTTAAATTTTTAAAATTTTTTAACTCCTGAAAATTAAAATCCTTGAATTTTTTCTTTAAAAAAATTAAGAACTTTGATATCTTTATAAAATGATTATATGACTTTATAATTAATTACATTATTTTTATAACTCAAAATTTCTATAATTAGATTCTATTTTAAATAATGTTTTATGCTTATACAATGTTCATAAAAAATTAATAAAAATTTAAATAGTGTATTGAATCAATTTTCTTTCAATTTTGGATAAAAGTAATAAATTAAATTTTGTGTAAACTCTAAAAGTATTTTTGTTTGGAAAATTTAATAATTCATTATTAATTTTAATCTTCAAGAATTAACAATTTAATTGATCAAATTATAAAGGCTTGATTAAAACAAAATAAATTACAGATGGTAATCAAACTTAAAAAAAAAAAACTATAAGAACCTGTAAATGTCTATTTGTCACTTTACAACAGATAAAGAGGTAGCAAAGAAGGTGGAGAATCAAAAGATGCAAGGTGATCATGGCACCTCTTTCTGATGACGTGAATATTGAAAGCATTCAAAGCCAAGTTGCTGAGAGGTTAGGTACGCAACTCAATGAAAAAATTGTGGACACAAGAGCTTCTCGTCTACGTGAGAGGTTGAAACATGCAAAGAATATGCTTCTTATATTGGATGATCTTTGGGATGAACTTGATTTGGGCAAAGTTGGAATTCCCAGTATTGATTATGAAAATAATATCAAAAAGAATGAAGGTTGCAAAGTTTTACTAGCTTCAAGGAATGATATGTTGCTATCAACCTAATGAAATGTCAATATTATCAAAGTGGATGCATTTATAGAGAATGAAGCACGAGAATTGTTCAAGAGGATTGCTTATCTTTCTTTCAACTCAAGTGGTCCTGATTTGATATCTATTGCTACTGAGATTGTTCGAAAGAGTGGAGGCTTGCCAATAGCAATTGTTACAATTGCCAAAGCATTAAGGAATAAAGATGTGAATAAATGGAAGGATGCCCTTGCATGTCTGAAAAATCCTTTACGAAGAAGCATAACAGGAATTAAAGAGGTTGATTCCATTTTGAAGCTGAGCTACAATCAATTGAGCTCAGAGAAAAAAAAAATTTCTTGTTTGCTGCCATGTTGTCTCATGATCCCTTAATTGAAGACTTGCTCCTGTACTCTATGGGGTTAGATTTTCTTGAACACATAGAAAACATGGAAGATGCCCATGTTGGAATTTATAATGCTGTCAGTGAGCTAAAATCTTTGAACTTATTTCTTGATAAATTTTCTAGTCATCGTGTCACAAGGCATGATGTTATTTGAGACGTTGCACTATATATTGCGTCCAATGAGTTACATGCCTTCATTGTGAGACATAGAAGGTTGAAAGAATGGCCAAACAAAAATTTGCTAGAAGGCTACAAGGGAATTTGCTTAGAAAAAAGTGACATTACTGATCTTCCAGAAGAGTTGTCTGCTCCAAGGTTAGAATTCTTCCTATTAAATAGTGAAAACCATGATTTGGCCATTCCCTTATTCATTTTTCAGATCCACAAAAGAACTCAAATTGCTAAGTTTAATCAATGTGTGCTTTTTCATCATAACCATCTCTTAATTCTCTAAAAAAAAAAAAGCTCAAAACATTGTGTCTATACTCTTGTTTGCTAGAAAAAATAACTCAAGTTGGAAGTCTGAAGCAAGTAACAACCATGAGTCTTGCTTACTCTGAAATTGATCAACTACCATTTGAATTGGGGACGTTGACTTCATTACAAATGTTAAATCTAGTCCATTGCTCCAAACTCAAAGTGATTCCACCAAAACTCCTATCTTGTGATAACCCAGAAATTTTAGTAAAAAGAGAATAATAAAAATAATAAATAAATTTATATTAAGGTATTTTGATTTCATTCTTGTTAGTTTTTGGTATCAATAGAAGAAGAGGAAATGTTGGCTTAATGGTAATTGTGTTTCAATCCATCCCTCAGGTCCTTAGTTCGAATCTCTCTTATACAAGAGAGAAGTTTAATTTATTTTTGCTCCAGTCCTTGGGTGAAGTTACAAGTTTGCCCCTCTATATTAAAAAAAAAAAAAGATAAGAGACAGATAAAAAATGCACGACGGCTTCTTCCCTCCCCATTTTTTGTTTTCTTTGAAAGCTCTAGAACCAGCTAGCGCAGCCTCTACTCCTCCGTTCTACCTCCTGTGTTCTCCCCATTGTGCTTGACGCCGGCAACTATGATTGAGGAGCCCTCCTCTCCCTCCTCCGTCGTGCTGTTGTGTTGAAACGTTGGACTACATCATCTCCCCTGCTTCGCTCAACCTCACTAGCTGTCTAGCTCATCCTTCCACTATCGTCACTGCTGGAGTCTTCGTTCGTTCACACTTACTAGGAGTTTCAGCGAGGTCACCAACTCTTTCTGTTCCTGTGTAGCATCATCGTCGAACCTTCTCCTTCCCCTGTTCAGTGTCTGCTCCCTCCTCTTCTCTTTTGTGATGTTGGTGATTTAAGGTGAGAAGCTTCTATCATTTACTTCCTTCTTGTTGTGCGTATATGACTATGGATTGAGATTGTGAATTTGTTCTCCATTTTTTTTCTGCGGGCCATGAGTAATGTGATGTTGGAAATTTGATTTCAATTTGGTATTTAATTTGATTTTTGTTTAAAATTTGGAAGGCTAAATTATTTCAAATATGACTATAATAAAAATTTAGGGAATGACATTTGTAGAAAAGGAAGTTTGGTTTTAGTTAAAGGATTCATGCCTGAAAGATGTTTGATAAAATGCTCATTAGTAGAGTTTTTTTTAATTATGTATCTATAATAGTGATGGTTTCTCAAGAAGTATGATTTAGCTTGGATATTATTATTTGTATATCTAAATTAGGTTTTTGTGAAGGGGTGTATTTAAGAAGTTATCAAAATCTTATTTGAGTTTTAGATTATTAAGAGTTATATGGTTGATGATTTATAAAGTATATTATCATTTTGAAAGTCATACTTAGATGCTTAAAAATGGCTAGGCTTGAGAATTAAAAGATACTAGTTTTATTGGATAGTTTGGAGTGTCACACATTAGATGTTTGGTAAAAAGCCTAACAAGAAACATTTATGTGTGAATTTTGTTGCTAAAACTTTAAAGTTACTTATATTAATTTTGGTTGAGTAGATTCTCTTAAAAAGAGACTTGTTGGTTCAAAAATAAAGTTCATTGAGATCTTATTATATATTATAGAATAATTGTAAGAAAGGTGGCTCAATTGAAGTTGAAAGAAGTGAGTTTTAAGCTTTGAAGGTGTTACAGCAAGTGAATAACGTCCCAATTGATTTATCATTAAATTTCTTTTTCCAAAATATTTTTTATATAGATCAGTTAATAATAATTATATTAAATATTTAATACTTTTTTAATTAAATTATTTTTATCTTGGGAAATTACAAAGAGATATTGAAGAATATTTGAATTATGGCATCTGTATGTGTTTTTCCTTATGAAGGATATTTTCAAAATAGGTGAGATTATTTTTATCAACATTGATTATTTTTGGATTACTCAATAAATGCCAAATATGGACATTAATTACAAAATTTTATTTTGGCAAGTTTTTAATGCTTCAAACTATTCATGCGAGTTTGACTTTAAGAATGAGAACTATATTTTTATAGTGATGATTTTTTCACATGGTTGAAAATGGATTTGGAGGGGATTTTATACAAGAGATTGGTTGCTAATGAAAATCCCGTTAGCCCTAGGTGTGCCATGGTTAATGACTAGCTAATTTAATTTTCGTAAACTCTATTCTCACATTTGCTATTCATGGGTCTTATACCTACGTTTGTTTCTATCGCTTCAAGCCACATTTGGTTAGTATTACCCTCATGGACTTTGTGTCCACATTTGTTTTATAGCCAAGTTTACGTTTGGTTACTTACCCTCATGGACTATGTGTCTACGTTTATTTTCATGACTTCGAGTTGCATTTGGTTAGTATTACCCTTGTGGATTATGTGTCTATATTTGTCTTCATGGCATAAGCCACGTTTTTTATTTACTCTCGTAGATTATGTGTCTATGTTTGTAAATTATTATGCTAAATCCCCAAAAAAAATATGAAATTTTAATTAATTGGTAATTTCATACGTAATAGTTTTTTAAATTAATAAATATTGTTATTCTTATTTACTTATTTAATCATTTTAACTTGTTAAAATCAAATGTTAAAGCTGCATTGTCATTATAGCTTTAAATGTTCTTGTTATTGAAGTTATATAGAACTTTTATTACAAGTTTATAAATTTGTTTACATTGCATTGCTTTCGCATGTACTATCATACTCCAATACTAAAGGTATGATCGGCATAAAATATAAGGTGAATTTATATTTTATAAGCCTTAATTAACTAGAAATTAAGTTAAAATATCTGTATGTGTAAGTTATATACAATAATAAAGTTCATAAAATTTTAAACGTTCTATGAAAATTTCAGCAATGTCCTATATAATTTAGACCTCCCAAAATTTCCACAACAACATAACCTTTCAACCATACCAGCAAGGAGACTAGCTCTATTACAGCAATTTACATGATACAAAATAAGATTAGGATCTAACTATGATGTATGTAGAGCATTAAGCTATAATTACAAAATAAAATTCATAGATTTACTAAAATAACAATCATGATAGGCTTCCTTTTTCAAAAATAACAAAAAGGCCCCTCAACAATTTGTTGGAGGAGCAGGGTTAGCAACAACATTTGGGACTAAAGAAATTTTTCGGTGAGTAGCGTTCTAATGAAAATTATAATTTAAAATACATATATATAAAGGTAATAACAGATAAATTTAATTCAAAATGACTTAATGAAATCATAAAACATATAGTTTAGCTAACAATAAATAATGAATTTTCTCAATAATATAATCATAAAATTAGACAATGCTATCAAAATCACATAATTGTATTAAAATTTGTATTGCCCATAAAATAAATAAACATTTTTCAATAATGGTGCAATTAGAAATAATGCTTTTGGAGAACTAATCTAAACATAAAAATCTTAATTTAAATCTAGGACAGCTTTATTAGAACGAATAACAAGCGTTCACATACAATCTACAGGGATAAATAACCAATCAAGTGAGGTTGAGAGCCACAAAACAAGCATGGTGAAAGCCACCAATCAAGTGCAGGCATGACACTCATAAAAATAAGTATTGTACCATACTCATGAATAACCATCCCTCCGTTCCATGTGTGTTGGTCTACACATGGGGTTAGTACCTCATATAAGCACCCAGTTAGTTAGGTGTACCATGACGCTCCAAGGGCTAATAGAACTGCTATTAGCATCTAATGTTTTGAATTCAATCCCCCTCATTAAAATTAAGTGTATATGAAGAAAGAAAAATATTTTCAAAATTCTCACTTTCAAATATTATTCAATTATCATTTTTCATTGCTCAAAATTATCATCATTTCTTTCATGTACAAATCATTGCAATAAAAAAAATTGTATCAATGTGAAATTAAATATTTAAACTGTTTATGAGAAATAATACCATTAATATGGAAATAGGATTACAGGAATATGTAAACAATTTATAAAGCAATAATAATAATATTTAAACAAAAAAAATTTTATAAATACTTTATTGAAAATATATTTGAAACATCACTCATTCACCTGAATTTCTAAAAATCTTATGGCTCTTAATTTTTTGTTTATTTCAATAATGTCCCAATTTAATTTAGCATGTAAACCAACACATTTCATATTATTATGATTTCCTTTCTTAATATAAGCAAGTAAAATTAACATTCAAGCTCTTCAATTATTCATTAAATTTCTCAATAACCCCTAAATTCTCACCAAATTCTTCAACAACCTCTATCAAGTAGTCAACAACACTAGACACATTCAACCACAATCATTAACGTAATTCTTATTCTAAGCTTAGCAAAATTTTAATAATCTTATTATCACCAACTTCTTCTTTCAAGCATATTTGCAAAATACCTTGAATATATTAAAAATTTAATTCACAATAATCATCCAATAATTTAATCAATTTTCAACAATAACTTTATTATCACCATTCAGCTCATCTTCAAACTAGAACAGTACATAGCGTCAACTTAAAATACAAATCAATTTTTTCAAAATTATAACAGCCATTAGGAGAAGCAGAGCCACGTTCTTCGGCTAGGGGAAGGAGAAAGGATGATTCAAGCTACCTATAAATTCAAAGGAGAAGAAGAAAGGATCACCGTCTAATCTTGAATAGAAGTGCAGAAATAACAACCCCTCCTTAGTTCACAGACTACCCTAAAAGATAACAGAAGAATTCAACCTAGCTGCTCCACGTGAAGAAGAAGCAGGAATCAGCATGTATAAAAAAAACATGAGCTTTCCTTACACACACCCACACACACACGGTGCCTAGAAGCAGAGGAAAAGAAAAACTAAGGCTGAATATGTGAGCTTACACCTCATTCGTTAGTCACCAAACAGAGCAGAAATTTAGCTCATCACCAGACAAAACAAACACGGACGAACAACGAAGAGGAAGAGACTGAACGAGTTTTTCCAGCAAGGAGAAGAGAGGATCAACGATTTTCCTCGCACTACAGTACAGTGATGACAGCTGAAGATCAGCATGTGGTCGAGATTGGTGAAGGAAGCTAGCTCTGTTCTGCAACTCAAATAAGGAAGACGGAAACCAGAAATCGTGACCAGAAAAAAGAGAAAAATTTAGCTTATCATACACCTATACAAAACTTTTAGCAGCTAGAAAGCAAGAAGGATTGAAGCCACACACATGCAAGAGCACACGGACGCTCTACCTGGACTGATACGCAAAAGATGACAGCAAAGAAAGAACAGAACCTGATGAGCCACTTCCAGCTGCCGAGACGCACCAGTTCAGCCACGGGTGAAAGGAAGAGTAAGCCAAAGGTGAAGAGAAGGAGTTCGATGGTGAAGAGAAGAGAGAACTCGAGGTCGGTGAAGAACAAACGCGAATGCTGTGTTTTTTTTCCTTTCTTTCACGCGAAGAAATACTATCAGATATGGAAGTTTGGGAAAATTACAAGAAAGACCCAAAATTCTCCTATAATTTCAAATCAAATCAAACTTGAAAAAAAAATATTTAAATAAAATATCCTTTGGGAGAAAATTTTGTTCAGATTAAAAATTTTAGGTCATTACAAATATTTTATGTAGTTATTATATTTTATTCATTTTAGTTATGCAAACATGTTATGGTTAGGAGGTTATTTACTGAAAAATATTTGATCTGATCTCAAATAATATAGCTGACATTGTATGCCTTGCTGAACACTGGTGGATATTGTTTTCTTTCAAAGTAAACATTTAGTTATGTTTTAATTTTTGTTTTTATATGCTCCGCATTAACTATAGGTAGAAATTTGGTATGTAATATATATTGTGTGTCTATTATGGAGAAACAAAGCTTCACAATACTGGTTTGGATTGTACATGGTTATTGTAGTTATTTTAGGAAGTCCTATTTATGGAAGAAATTCTATCAAAATTCCTACAGAAAGTTTATAAATCTTTTTGTTTATATGAAAATGTTGCTACTATTTTCAATCCTATTTTAAATAAATTAAGATACTAAATTACAGTCTTCTTGATCAAGGCTTTATGTATGTGTGTTTGTGCATATATCCTGTGTTGGTCAAGCCTAATTTTTAGGGCACGAGATATCTAGTTGGAAAAAATTGGAGGTTTTGAACATGGAGAATAGCTTTTACCAGTGGAAAGCTAAAGGATCCAGTGAAGGTAAAGAAAATGCAAGACTTGATGAATTAAAGGATTTGCCAATTTATTTATATATTTCTATTCCTAATGCCTTTATTTTTCCAGAGAACTTGTTCTTACATACTCCCTCCATTTTTATTTATAAGAGAAACTATTACTTTTAGCTTGTTTTTTTTTATATAAACAAAATCATATTTTTCAATAAATATTTATTGCAAACTTTATAAATTATTCTTCATAATTTTATCATTTATAGTCATAGGAGACAATTAATAAAGGTTTGATTAACACAATTAATGAAGGCTTGATTAATGCAATTAATGAAGGGTATTGTAGTCCAATTCTTTTATTTACAGATACAATTAAATATAATTAATTAAATTTCTTAAACTATGTGATACACTTTTTTCTCCTACAAATAAAAATGAAGGGAGCATGAATTTAAAGAGATACAGGATATTTATTGGAAAACATTGGAAATGGAATAGCGGTTATGAAACTTCAAAGACATTGAAACTTGAGCTAAAAAGCAGTATCCATTTGAAGTATGGGGTTCAAAAATTATTGGAAGGAGTAGAAGATTTGTATTTGCATGGACCCCATGGGCTTGAAAATGTTCTTTACAATACATTTTCACATTTAAGGCATCTTCAAATTGAAAGTAATGATCATATTGAGTATCGTTTTGAGCTCAACACATCATGAAGATGCCCTAACAATCCTTGAAACTTTGAAACTTGAAAACAAGAATGGGCTAATGAAGTTATGTCAAGGACCAATTGCACCCACCTTCCAAAACCTAAAAGTAATCAAAGTGAGCTGTCGTCAACATTTGATGTGGATTTTCTCAACTTCAATGGTTGGATCATTTTCATAACTTGTTGAGATTGAAATTGAAGATTGCAACTCCATCATAGAGATTGTGATGTCTACCATTGAAGATTCACTTGATCAACAAAGGTCAGTTGCTAATGATGTCATTTTTTTTTTTTTTGAGAAGTTACGCACTTTGAAGATGGAAAGATTGCCGACTCTTACAGATTTCTTCATCAAGGAAACATCAACAAATAAGGATTGCAATAAAACATTGAAATCACTTTTCAACAGTAAGGTATGTTTAGATTATCCTATTGTTACTTTTTCTTGTTTTAACTTCCATAGTTTGTGAAATGCATTTTCACCAGAATTATTACTTTGCTATGGGGCTTTTGTGGCACTTTAAGTTGCAGGTTTTCTTTTTATCTTTTAAACTACTTAAAATAAGTTAATTATAAAAGAGATAAACTAATTGTATGCATTAAAATAAAAAAAATGAAACATCAAATTATTTGGTTTGCATCCTTTAAAAAAGGCTCAAATTCGACATTCTGGATTTTTTTTTATCAATGGAGCGATGTATATAATACAAGCTAATAGAGAAGAAAAGAAAAAAAACTAACCAGAAGCCCGAGAATTTAAAAAACCTAGTCACAAAACTTTAAAAATGAATAGATTTTTTTTAATTTAAAGTAGGATAGCGTTAACATGAAGTTTTATATTCGCATCTTAGATTTATACATATTTTTTTAAATTTTTAAACCATTTTTCACCAAGAAGATATGTTTATATTATTTTGTCTTCTTTTTTTTCTTTGCTTTAAATTCTTAAAAACTTGAGGCTTATCGGCGAAAATCATTTTCTCTAACATTAATTACTTTACTATTAGGCTATTATGGTATTTTGCAGTTTTTTTTAATATTTTAATCACTTTTTCCTTATGAACTCTATATTTTACTTTCCCCCGTCTATGTTATCATTGCGTAAACTTCAATTTTACATAACGCCCAACTGATGGATTGTAATTTTTTTAAAAATGTAGCTATGCCTTTTCAACTACTCAAGAGTCAAGACACATAACTTTACAGGTTTAAGGGAAAATGTGTAATGACTCATGAATTTAGAATTTTGTTAACTATAAAATAAATATATATTTTTTTAAAAAAAAATAATTAGACTTCTCATTTCATATTTGCATAAAAAATAATAAAATAAAATAATAAATTATTCTTCTAAATATTTTAACTTTCTTTTCATAAAATTATTGGGTAGTTATAATAAAGTGAATTAGTAGTATAATGATGGTTTTTAATTGATAGTTCACGTTTATATTTGGGTGGTGACAAAAATTATATTTTATATTTTCTTAAGTATTTCAAAATTTTAGAAATGCCATTACTTTAAAAAAAATTTTAAAAAGAAGAAAAGATCATCAGTTTTTTTTTCATTACCGACTTACTGTAATGACAAAAAAATAATAAAAATGATATTAATATTAATATTAATGAAGAATTATTTTGATTATATATATTTATATTTATATGGTGGAAAAAGTACAGCAAAGTGAATTTGTGGCTTAATGAAAACTGCTCTTGATGTTTACTTTAAAATATGGAGTTCGAAATCATGCTGTAAAGGAGACATTTTATTTTGCTTTAACACGGTGAAATTACTAGATTGCCACTCTGAAATAAAAACTCATCAGATTCATTATCATTTCCTTTGTCTACTTATTAAAAACGTGAGACACAGAGAAAGGGGTAGAGAGCGCTTCAGGAGTCTTCCATCTTGTTCTTCCTCCTCTGATTCCTTCGTTCTCCCTCCTGTCGCCGATGTGGTGCTCCGTTCGTCTGTTGCTGCTGCCACGGATCCGTCCGTTGTTCGTGTGTTCTTCTTCTCCCCTGTTTGCACTGTCTGATTATTTTTCTCTAGCTGACATCAGGCTAATCCGTGGGAGCTTCAATCTCTTCTTACCATTCCTCCTCCATTTCCAGCTCCCCGGCGTGGGTGCGTGAGGATCATCTGTTTCTTTCTTCTCCTTGTTCGTATAGCCAGCGTCTCTCTCTGTTACTCCCCTGCTTTCTCTGCCACGGTTGAGGTGAGCAGTTACGGTGCCTTCTCCTTCTTATTTGTTTGGGTATGTGTGTATGTTTAAGAGGTTGAAATTGTAATACCCACTTCACCGGTGCTGTGTGCATTTGATGGCTATAGCCATGCATTTCTCCTTTTTAATTGCCGTGGGTGTTGAGGAGTTGGGAATTGGGTTTTCTTTGAGATTAAAAATTGATCTTTCTTCATTAAAGAATGGAATTCAAGAGGTTGACTGGTTCCGATAATTTTATTGGAGAATTTTTGAGAAATGAAATTGAAGAGGAAGGACTTGGAATTTAGTCCCAGGTTAATGCTTGCAAGGTATTCGGCCAAATGTCTATCATTAAGAGTTTTGTTTAAATATGTTTTTTGTTTTTTTTAATCTCACTAGTTCTTATGAGGAGTGTGTATAGATTGGGCTTAATAATTTATGAACTTGACTTGAACTTTACAAAGGAATTTTATTATGAAGTTAATATGCAACTAGTTGAATTATTCCTAAAAGTTTTATGGTTATTGATAAATTTTTGGATAAGATATTCAAATGTTAAAAATATCCTTATGAAATAGTTAACTACGGTTAAAGTATTAAGGAGAAAGGAGAAACTTTATAATATAAATTATAGTGCTTGGGTAACTTTAAATTATGTAGACTAACTATAATTATGTTAATGTTGGAAAAGAGTTGATATATTAGGTGTATTGAAGCTAGAAATTTAGGATTTAAGTGGTTCAATCTTTACATTGATACTTGAGAATGTGTGGATATTGCTTGAATGTTTATAAATTAATTAATGTTAAATTATTTATTTATTTTATTTGTCATGAACTTGGATTGAAAATGTGTTCATTGAGTTTTAAATGGTGGCCTTAGTTAATTTAAGGAGACTGGGTTGTTATTAGAATACCTGCAAATATAAGATTAGAAAATGCATGCTTCGGATAGAATGAACTTGTGAAATGAAATAAGAAGAATATATATATATTTTTTAAAAAGATGACCGGTGGGTTAGGGTTAGAATTGAGGAGACTTTAATATGTTCAAGAAAAATGTTGAGTAAATGAATGTTTATTAGAGATGCATGGAGTAGAGTCACCATTAAAGAAATTTACTTGTTCTTCTTATCTTGGTAATAGAGTATCTTAAGGGAAAAGACATGGTGTTTAGAAGGAAGAGATTATTATTTTGGGAGTTTATCAGGTAAGTGGTTAGCATCCCAACTGATTTATGAATGAAATTCTTTTTCCAAAAATATTTTTTTTCATGGATCATCTAATAACAATTATATTATGTATTTCATACTTTGTTAATAAAATTATTTTTATCTTGAAAAATTGTAAAGAGATGTTAAAGGATGTTTGAATTATAACGTGTATGTGTTTTTTGATACTTTTAAGATTGATGAAATTATTTTTATTAGCTTTGGTAATATTGGTTTATTTATAAATGCAAGCGTGGACATTAGTTATGAAACTTTATTATGGCAAGTTTTTATTGTTTAAAATTCTTTATACAAATTTGATTTTGCGAATGAAAACTGTATTTAATAGTGATGACTTTCTCGCATGTTTGAAGATGAATTTGGAGGAGATTTCATACAAAATACTATTAACCCTTGGCGCGCAATGGTTAATGACTAGCTAATTGGATTTTTGTGAGCTCTATTCATGGGTCTCTTTCTCGTGTTTGTTTTGGTGGCTTCAAGCCGTGTTTGGTTAGTATTACTCTCATGAACTGTGTGTTCATGTTTGTTTCGTAGCTCATGCTATGTTTATGTCATAACTTAATAAAAAAATAATAATAACAATAATAATAAATAATAAATTAATTAATTGAAAAGTGATGATAAGATATAATAAGTATATTCTATATATATATAGTGAAGGTAAGTTTACTAGGGTAAATTGATGGTTCAGTGGCAAGTAATCTTGACATTTACCTTGAGGTTTCAAGTTCGAATCCTCCTTATGAGGGGTGGGATATTTTTTTTCAACCTTTATAAAATTACCATTATGTCCCTGGCAGCATAAGATATTTTTATTCCCTTCCCCAGTCAGCGTTCGCGGAAGCATCGGGGAGAGAGAGAGAGAGAGAGAGAGAGAATTCTGAGACCAGAAGCTTCGTTCTTGTCTTCTCCTTCCTCTGCCTCACCGCGTCGTCGGCACTGGATCATCAGAGTCCCGTCCGCCATTGCCGAGGTGTTTGGGCGACCTTCTTCCTTCCTTCCTTCTTCTGCACCTCTGTTTTACAGAAGGCTCCAGAAACCACCGACAAAATGAGAGAACTTTGGTCTTCCTCCACCTACTTCTTCTATCATAAGCGTCGCCGGCGAGGGTGGTAAGAAATCCATTCGTCGCCGTTCTTTCTTGTCTGCTTCTTTGGAGTATAACTGTTTAGGATTTCAGTAATCATCCTTCATGTCCCTGTTCGACGTCCCCTGTCGGTGTATGTGTCGGAGGTTGTGTGAGGAGCTTGGTCGTTGGAGAAGCTTGTGGTGCTGCTGTTATATGTTACCGTCAGCCTCTCATTTGCCTTCCTCATTGCAGCTATGTCTGAATCCCCTCCACCCCTGTTCAATATTGTGCAATCCTTTTTCTCTCCTTGCTTTTTCTGCTACTGATTGAAGGTGAGGAGTTCGAACTCCCTTCTCTTTGTTGGTCCTGTTAGTGTGTTTAAATTTCAGAGATTGTGGTTTTCTACTTGCTTTGCTGCTGGATGTTCGAACATTGACAAAGGGGTTTAGGCAAGTTGGAACTTTTAGATTTTTAGAGTTAGGTGCAGTGTAGATTTGAATTTTATTTCAGTTTATTTTTAAATTTAGTTGAAAGGATGAAATTTTGGAAAATTGGTTAATCTAAATATTGAAATTGAGAAATTTTGGGAAAGGACATTAAGGAAGAAGAGGCTTGGTATTTGTTTGAATTTAGATGCATATGAGATGGTTGATAACATGCTTGAGAGGAAGTTGGGATGAGGAATAGATATTTTGAAGAGAATATTTTCATTAATAATTCAACCACAAATTCCTATTTATGTATTGATCTTTGGAATATCTGTTGAATATTGTTTTGATGCTTGATTTTGAGATGCACCTAAGGTGCTTGATAAGATGGGTGCCAAAAGAACATTGAAATTTTTGTGAGATTAAGGATGATGTAAATTTATACAAGGTTGGTTGAGAGAGAGAGAGAGAGAGAGAGAGAGAGAGAGAGAAGGGTTGAATAGAAACAAAGTGTTAAATAGAGGGACTATATAGTGAGTATAGTAGAGGTTGGAGGAATTGAGGCATAAATTATATTTAGTCAAAAACTTAAGTGATCATGGTGTTGTTGATATCATAAAAGATCTTATTAAACTTGAGTAAGGATCATTGAATTATCTTTTATGTTGAATAGGGTGTTAGAAGAAAGAGGACTTGACTTTAAAGAGTGAATTTGCACTTGGGGACTCTACGGGTAAGTGAATAGCACCCCATTATTTTTTTAATAAAATTAGTCTGTTTTTGAAATATTTTACATTTTCAAATAAATCATTTTAACAGCTACGATGATTATCATGCACTTTGTTAGTTAAATCATTTTGGTTCTGGAAATTATAGAATGATGATGAAAGTTAATTAAATTATAGTATATGCATGTATTTTCTTTACGAAATATATTTTTCAAGATTGATGAAGGCATCTTTGTTTATTTTACTCTAAAAATTCTTAGTTACTCAACTAATACAAGCTTGTACATTAGCTATGAAATATTATTCTGGCAAGCTTTAAGATTTGAAATGATTCATGAGAGTTTGGTATTGAGAATGCAAATTATATGTCAAAAATAATTCTTCTCGCATGTTTGAAAAGTGATTTTTAGAGGACTTTATATAGAACATTGGTTGCTAACGATAGTCCCGTTAGCCCTTGGCGCGCCATGGTACACCTAGCTAGCAGGGTGTTTATAGGAGGTGCTAGCCACGTGCGATGGCCAATGCACGTGGAACGGAGGGATGGTTATTCGTGAGCATCGTACTCATGTTTGTTTCTTTAAACCGCGTTTGGTCAGCATTACCCTCATGGACTGTGTGTCCACGTTTGTTTCGTGGCTTCGGCTGCGTTTGGTTACTTACCGTTGTGGACTATGTGTCCACATTTATTTTCGTGGTATAAGCCGCGTTTGGTTATTTAACCTCGTGGACTATGTGTTCATGTTTGTTTCCTGTTCTATTAAGTCCTCAAAATTCTAAAGTTTTAATCAACTTGTGAACTTGAAATCTCAATGGTTTTAATTAACAAGTGTACCACTTCTATTTATGTATAATTGATTATTTTCTTAAGTATAATTAAAATCACATAATTTTAGTTTACTCTCATCTTTATGATTATGATTATGATTTCAAAAGCAAGTTTTTTTGTATAGAATTATTCTCATTTCAATTATTCTACATCATTCTTGAATCTATTTGTTTATTTATCTTTCTTTAAAATTTATTCATTAGGGATGCTATTCACTGGAAAAAAATTATTTTTGGTCCCAGATTTATTAGTTGACGATGAACCTCCTGCCGATCATTGGAAGGCTTGCTACTGTACTAGGTGAATATTTATTTTAAGAATGTCTTTTCTTTTGATGTATATTTTCAATTATGTGTTTTATGTTGAGACAATAATTTAGGTGCTCCACATTAACTATAGATGTACTTATGGTTTGGAAATTTATATAGATTTCCTGTTGTCGAGAAACAAAGTTTTGTATTATTAATTTATTTGAAAATAGTTATTGTAGAGATCTGAGGTGTCTTATTTACAAAGGAAGTTCTACGAAAATCCCTGCATCGAGTTTAGTATCTTTTGTTTGCATGGAAAAAATGTTACTATGATTTCCAACCCTATTTCAAATAAATTAAGATGTTAAATTAGAATTTTCTTGCTAAAGGCTTAAAGGATGTATGTTTGTGCATATATCCTGTGCCAATCACATCTAATTTTTAGGGTGTGATAGTTTAATTACTTACCCTTGTAAACTGTGTGTCCACATTTGTTTTGGTGACATAAGTCGTGTTTGGTTATTTACCTTCGTGGATTGTGTGCCCACGTTTGTGAATTGTTCTGATAAATTTCCAAAAGTATAAATTTTTAATTAATTGATTGATAATTTTACACTAATGTTTTTTAATTAGAAAATTGTATTATTTTTATTTATGTATTTATTTAATTATTTTGACTTGTCAATATCAAATATTAAAGCTACTTTATCGTTATAGATTTAAAGTTTCTTGATATTGAAATCATATAAAACTTGTATTCTGAGCTTACAAATTTGTTTACATTAAACTGTTTTCTCTTTAAGTTATGCATATGTTATAGTTTATTCATTTTGAATTTGCAAAACATTATGGTTAGAACATTATTTACTGAAAAATATTTTTGGTCTCATATATCTTGTACCTCTGTCAGATCATTCAAGGCATTTTGCTACAGGATTGAAGTTGTGATGTCATTTTGGTTAATCTGTATTTTTTTTATGTAAAATTTTAATCTATATATTGTACTTTTATAAATAATGTTACAAGTGCTCTACATAGGCTATATTGAGGGTCTTTATTTTGTAAATATTCTATTTATTAGTTAGAAGGAGCTAAGCTCCTAGATGTTACAATATTTCTTTAAAAAAATTGTATTATAAAATTTTAGGGAAATCCTATTCTCAAGGGAGATTCTACCAAAATTTTGACAAAAATATTAAGGTTTTATTTAAATGAGAAGTATTTTTAAAATGAAACATTTTTTAAATTAGGCTTAAGGGATGTGTATTTAGATGCATATTCTGTGACAGTCACTCTCATATTTTGGGGTGTGACAAGATGATTATTTTATCTTATAGAGATGCTGTTGAATGCAATTGATTAGTATAAGTGAATTAAAATGAAAACTTAATTAAAAATGTATAAGTCAATTGTTCAATTTTTTCTTTTGAAGACATTTTTTATCCTACAATTTTATCATTAATTTATTGGTTCTATATTTAAATTTGAACTTTTAACAATTTCATGAAAAATAAGCCTATAGATCAAAAGTGATTTTCTTTTAATCATATCTTCTTTGAATTGGTGTTATTTCCACTATTGAAGCTATTAGAATTGTCAAATTTAAACAATTTGATTTCATTTATATGGGATGATTGGCTTCTAGACAGCTCATTTAGTAACTTGAAAGAACTGGTCGTGTGTGGCTTTGTGAAATTAATGCCCTTCCAAGTTCTAAAATGCTTACACAATCAAGAAGAACTAAAAGTGAGAGATTGTAAGGAGTTGGAGATGGTGTTTGGTTTAGAAGCTTTGAATGATTGTAAAGAGAGACAGGCATCATCGATAGTTGTGCCATTGAAAAAGTTAAAGCTACGATACTTGCCAAAATTGAAGAATGTGTGGAGCATCACCACCAAGAAAATGTCTCCTTCCAAAGTCTAAGGCAGATACAAGTTTATTTTTGTGAAAGCTTCACAAGTATGTTTCCTGCATCTATTGCTAAAGGCATGCTTCATCATCTTGAGTAGCTTGACATATTGAAATGTGGCGTACAAGTAATTGTTGCAAAGGATCAAGTTTCAAAGTCTGTTGATGCTTCATTTGTGTTTCCTAGGCTGACTTCTCTTGCCCTTTGTTTCCTTCCAAATTTGAGCAACTTCTATCCATGGAGACACAAATTAGAAGGGCCCCACCTTCAATAGTTACATGTTAGAAATTGTGATGAATTAGAGATATTTTTTTTTAAAAAAATCTCAAGTTCATCAAAAATACATGGAGAAGGGAGCACACTAGACTCAAAATATCCTCTACACTCTTGCGACAAGGTACCTTTCTAATGAGCACTTAGTGTTAAAAGAAATAATGAAACACCAAATTATTTTATTTGACAACCTAAAAAAAACTCGAGATTGATATGTTTTTTAGTATTTAACCATATGACTGGTTCCTATGATTGGCATATTTAATAGAGTATAATTTAGAATTTGACAATTAGATTGAAAAAAAAACTAAAGAATGTAAGTTGTGTAATTAATATTTCAATCAATAGATTCTGTAAAATAATTAAATAATTTTCTATTCTTTCTTCTAAAAAGAGGGGCACCAATCCTCACTTTTGAGTCTTCATTCCAAATAAGCAACGCGTGATGATTTAGGAGGGAATAGAATTTTTTGAAAACCTTGTAAGTTTTAGTTTTATATTTTGTTTTGGAATAGAAAGGAGTAATAACATTGGAATGGCACAACAGAAGATTGAAAATCTATAAATTCGTATTGACTTTTATTTTTCATGATTACAATTTCAAGCTAATTAAAAGGATCATGTGCTATTATATGATGTATTGTGTAGGTTAATTATTCCCAATCTGGAAGAGTTGCGATTGGACGGAAAAGAAGTGGACAAGATCAGGAGTGGGCAGTTTGCAATGCACCGCTTTCCAAAAGTAAAAGGGCTTGGTCTATATGCTAAAAAAGCAACAACTTTGTTGTACAAATCATTATTGTCCAGCTTCCCAAATTAAGAGCATCTCACAATAGGCAGTGAGTTTAAGGGGATATTGTCAAGTAAGGATCCTTTTGGAGGGGACCATGTTGCTACACTTGTTGTTCCCTTTCTAAAATTAACTCTCCAAGATATTTCCAATATGATAAGCATGGAACCATCCTTCATTTCTCCATCAAATCTCACACTTCTCTGCATGGAATTGTGTACTCTATTAACCACTTTGCTAACATCATTAGTAGTTCGAAGCTTGGTCCATCTCACATGCTTCACAATTCATTTCTGTGATGAGATAGAGGAAATAATAACAAAGCAAGAGGGAGAGGATGATGAGGACATGGATGTCATTTTTAGCAAATCACAGTATTTGCAACTTAATACCTTCAGGTTTCCATTAGTGGAAGATGTCACCATAAGAGAATGTCCTCACCTCACAATGTTCTGTGCAGGTGCCATACATTTTTGTGCCTTAAAAGCATTAAAGTGACATACAATCCAAATAAAAAAAAAATTTGGATGTGTGATCTAAACAACACCATCCAATTTACTGTTCAACAGGTATGCTGAATATATACTCCAATTCTTATTTTCCACTTTTTACAAAATTCTTCACCTCCAAAATTTAGCATTACATTAATATTTCATACAATTTTGAGTTTTAACTTTTTGTTGAACCTTTTAAATTATAAACTTTCCATATTACACAGCTCCAATTGCATGCGAATGATGGCTGATGAATGTGATAAACTGCAAATAGTCCTATTATAGTTATGATTGATCTTCTTGTTAGCATCATTCTTTGATACATCTCTTACTAGAATTATTTAAAGGGTTTTATTTTTATTTTAAAGTATCAATTTTATTTTAGGCAGGAAATTAATGATAAAACTATAATTATTAGAAAACGATGGTAGATTGATTATGAAAGATTTTTTTTTCAATAAAATAATAAATTATTTTTTAAAAAAATTGACTTTAATTTATTAAACTATTGCCTTAATATCCGAATACTTTCATCAACTGTCATTTTTTAGGTCCATTGTAAAAGCCCTGAAGCTAAATAAGGGCATGAAATAGATGAAGGTTGTTAACTTTAATTTTTGGATGAGGCTTTAGGAAGGAATGTTTAAAAATATAAATATTAGAAAAAGATGAGTCATCAAATTAAGAAAGATTTAATCCTAAGCTAACTTACACCAGAAATTATTCTTCAAAACAATACATTGATGTAATTTATGGAATCGCCTTCTACATATGGTAATTATTTTATTATTTATCATCTTATAGCCAGGTAATTTCCACAACTGAAAGCATGGCGTTAAATGCAAAGAATATCACGACAATAATGGTTGTCTTTCTTGAAGTGAGCATACTTCATGTAGAAAACATTTTGAATGAGGGGGTAACCTTTCCTTATAACTTCCTTGAAAGATTTCCAAAGCTTTATAAGCTTTATGTTTCTTTGAGGAGATATTCCCATCACAAGACCATATTATTGATCATATGGGAAAAATTACACCATTTAAAGAATTATACTTGGCCTATTTGGATCAGGTCAAGAGCATATGGAAGGATGATTCCCAGCTACCACCAATTCATCAAAGTCTATATATCCTTACAGTCAAAAGTTATAGCTTGATTAAGTTAGCACCATCCTTTGGCTCATTTCAAAATTTGACAGAGCTGAAGGTATCTACATGCCATCAACTCATCTATTTAGTGACAAGTTCAACTGCCAAAGGCTTGGTGAGTCTTATAAGGTTGTGGACAAATGACAGCAAGAAGATGGAGGAAATAATAAAGAATGGGATGGATGATGATGTGGAAGGGGGAATCTCATTCAATGGATTATTTAGACTCATATTTACTGATATTCCAAGCTTGAAGATGTTTTCTCCAGAGAGTTACTCCTTTAAATTCCCAGCACTAGAAGAGATAAAAATAATTGGATGCCCTCAAATGAAGAAGTTTTGTGGAGGAACGAAAGACCAAAGTCGTCTAAAGTGAAAATAGAAGAGCATGTTTTGGAAAGACTAAGTACAATAAACAAATGAGCTTATAATAGTAGAAATATAAAAAGAGTAAGAGAGGATGAGTGTGGCGTCAGTCAAAGCGTCGTCACTATTGGCAGTGGCGGCATCAGAGGAGGAGGAGGATGCGATGGATTGAAGTAGAAAGACAGTTAGGAAAGACAACTCTAGCTTCTCAGGAAATGTTTCTGTTGTTTCGAGAGTGAAAGATTGGATGGAGGAGGGCACTGAGAAGCAAAGCATTCTATTATATAGCGAACTGGCGCATAAGAACTTGCCGAAAGCATGGTGTGATTTTGATGAATCTGAGGAGGATCTGTTGATGGAAAAGAGTTTTTCCATGGGTTTTGACGATGTGCTTGAACCAACATAGGAGATTAGGGTAGATCAATCCAATTCGAGATACCCTAACTTTGTGTTAGATGAAGTCGAAAAGGAGCGTTTGCTGTTACCGTTCAGGAGAACATTGGTAGCTAAGGTTCTTAATAGGAGTGTTAATTTTGACGCTGTGGTTATGAATTTGAATAGGATGTACTCTAAGGCTTGATAGATTCGAGTGTGTGATTTGGTGAATGAGTTTTTCTTGGTGAAATTTTAGAATCAGGATGATTTTGATGCTGTTTTGACAGGAGGTCCACAATTGTATCAAGACTGCTACATTTGTGTAATGCGTTGGAGGTCTGATTTTGATCCTACCACGCATGTGATAGACTGGGTGGTAGCTTGGGTGAGGCTTCCTAATTTGCCAGCCACACATTACGATAAGAAGTTCTTGTTTAATTTAGGGAATGCCATTGGGAAAGTTATCAAGTCGATATGCCAACATCACAGAAAAGCAAGTGTAAGTTTGCTCGTCTTTGTGTTGAATTGGATTTGACTAAACCTTTAGTTCCAGAATATATTATTGAAGGTCATGTGAAAACGGTTGAGTATGAATGTATGGGTTTACTCTGTATTATAGGAGGTTTGGTCATGTGAGGGATTCATCTGAGGAGTTTGTGAAGAAAAGTAAAAGAGAAACAGGCTACTGTGGAACAAAACGTTCATATGGATATTGAGGGTGCTAAGGAGGGGAAAAAGGAAGTAGTTGAAGAAGAAAGTCCATTGAAAATTGCTCATAGGCCTTGGAGGCAGAGAATGAATAAGGGAGTGCTGGAGGAGGTAAGCCTTTGAGGGATATCACTAACCTGAAAATGAATAAACAGTTTCAGGCCAAGTATGTTTGGCAAGTTTCTAAAAAGGGTGGCGAATCTTCTAATATGAGTTCTTTGAGAGGTCAGAAAAGTAATGTGGATGACCAAGCTCAGTTGAAGGACTTGGGTGGTGTAAGTCAAATGAGGAATGGTGGTTGTCAGAATGTGTATGGTCAGACTAGTTTGAAGACTTTTATTCTTGATATAGGTGAAATAAAGGAATTGTTGAGTAAGGAAAGATGACAGGCAGTGACCAGATTTGGTTGGTATGATTATCGAGCATATGTCATCTGATGGGGAATTGGATATGGTTTATGAGGATGATGATGAGGAGAACATGCATGAATGCGAGGAGATTGAGGCTCGTAATTGCTAATCTATCATTCATGATGAAGATTGTTGTTTGGAATTGTAGGGAAGTAGCGAGCAGGGGTTTTACTGCTTCTATTAAAAACATTGCGCATGAGGTTTCAGTTGATGTTGTTGTCTTACTTGAACCTAGAATCAGCAGGTTAGCTGTTAAAAAAGCTATCCAAAGAATGGGTTTCAAATTCTGTGATTTGGTTGAGGCAAGAGGTTTTGCAAGTGGTTTGTGGGTCCTGTGGAATATAGAGGACTTAGGTTTGAAGGTGGTAAGAAAGCATAAACAGTTTGTTCACTGTTATATTGAGCAAGGATCTGATTGCCTTGGTTCTTTACAGCGGTTTACGCTAGTCCTCATGAAGACAGAAGAAGGGCCTTATGGGAGGATCTCAAAGATATTGTAATGACCTATGAATTTTATATAAAATTTAAAAAGAAAATATATATATATATATATATAAGTTTATGTTTTAATAGTACTTATATTAATTCTTAGGATAAGTTTGACAAGAAGAGAAGTTAGTGTAGTGGAAATCATTTTTATTTTTATACTTTATGAAATTACAAATCTACCCTCATCTTTATCAGACTTTTTTTCCTTTTTTCCTGGCCTTCTTAGAACATTCTGGGAGAGTAGAGAGAGAGTTAGAAAGCTGATGCCAAACCCTTGTTCTGTCTCTCGCCGACTTCTGCCTCTTACCTTCTCAATCACTAGTCATACGCTATTCGTGTGAGTCGCTGTTGCCGTTACCGGTGTGCCTGTCACTGGTTCTTCCTCCGCGGCTGTGAGTTCTTCCTCTGTTTTACCATCGTTCATCCTCCTCTGTCACTACCTCAAGTATGTTTGACTTCTCTTCCTTTCTCCTTGCTGTTTCGTGTGTGTGTAATTGATTTGGTGAGCTAAGATTTCTTTCTTTCTCTTGCTCGTCCTGTCATATTGTTTATTTTTCTTGATTTATGGTAGCAGTCCTTCCTCTCTATTGTTCATACCTGAAGCTATCTCCTTCTTTCTTTGCTGGTGCGTGTGGTTCCTTTAAGTTAAAAACCTAATCTTATCTCATTTCCTTGGAAGATTTCTGAACGTGTGAATGGATGAAGAGATAGAGTTGATGCTGGGAAAAAAAATCATGTCTTGTATGCTTTAGTCGGTGCCTGAATTTTCTTTCTTAATTTCAATTAGCTTTCTTCTTTTTTCTCTTCTTTATGGTTGCTGACTCATGTCTGAAATTTTACACCTTCATCTTGATAATTTTCTGTGCGGGCATTTTTAATGGTTGAAACTATAGAATTTTGGCGTGCTCAAGTGTCTTAGAGAATAATAAATTCCAATGTTGAGGTAAAAATCTATCTTAAAGCTTGATACTAATCTTCATATGGTCATAATTTTTAGAATAAATTAACTTGATTGGAATGATTGATGTTGAAGAATTTAGTAAATTGAAGTTGGAAGAGAAGAGGTTAGATATGATGATAGGAGATTAGTGTCTATAAGATGCTTATTAAAATGCTTGTCAGAAGAATTGAATTTGACTTTAAAATTTTATAAATTCTTGTGGGAAGTAGAGT